TTGTGCAGGGAGCCTGGGCAATGTCGGCTTTTAATATTCATGCGGATTTGGAGGCAGTGTTAATCACAGGGTCTGACAATTTGCACTTCCCTTAATTGCCCGTGCAGCAGCTCTGTCTGACCGCCAGCCCCCGTTCCCACCACGCTCCAGGGCAGGCGGTGCTCCGGCGGGGCAGCAGCGTGCTCAGCCACATCCCACACCTGTCTGCGAGCTGCCCCAGGGCCAGGGCTGTGCATGCAAGCACCTCAGTACCTCCTGCGCGCTCCTGAGCGCCAGAAGTGGTGCGTGGCTCGACGCAGAGGGGAGCAGCCCCAGATGAGAAGCCTCCAATCTGCTTTGGGGTGATGCGTGCAGGGCATTCCCAGCGCCACACAGCTGACGGCACAGTGCAGAGACATGCACGCCCTGCACCGTGTGCTCCAGTGCCGGCAGCGGACACCACCATCGGGGCTCTCACACGTCCCACCGCGGGCACACAGAGCCCTGCGGGTGCTGCCCTGGGTCCCCTCCCCACCGTCCCATTGCCGTCCCCGTGGCAGGCGTTCCCTGTCACCGCTGTCACTCCGCTCCCATCCTGCCGGCTGCCACCGAGCGGGGACAGAATACCAATGAGGGACGCGGAGCCGCAGGCTGACGGGCAGCCTCTCCTCGCAGAGCAGCACCCCCAGGGGTGGGGACACCGTGCCCCGTGTGCCGGGAGCGGGGGCAGCTCCCCCTGCAATGTGTCAGAGAGGTGCTGAGACCCTGCAGCTCGTGGCACAGATCTGTCACCAGCAGATTCTGATGGCAAAGCTGTGGGGACAAACCCGAGGCCACCTGCCTGGCAGCGGGACCCCGATGTCACCGCCGCCCCCGAGCGGTGCCACACAGGACCCCCCCGCTGCTGGTTTCCAAGCAGCCAACGCTCAGCTCGGTGCAGAGAGGGCCCGGGTGAGTTCTCAGCTGTCCTCGCGCTGTAATTGTCCTAATTAGATCTACGTATTTTGATGAAGGATTCACAAGGAAAAAAAAAAAAAAAAAAAAAAGGCAAGGCAGGAGGAGATAATCGAATCGCAGATGACATTGCCATCACCCAATCTCTCCACACGGCTTCTGCTGCAGCCGAGTCTGAAAATTATGCATAAGGGGGGAGGAAAATTACCATAATCTTCCTCTGCAGGATGACACCAAATTTGACTTGAGCTGCACGGGGTGGCGGGGAGCCAGGCAGCACCACAGCTGCTCTGCCCTTGCCCCGCTGGTGCCATCAGTGATGTCACTGCGCAGTGCCACACAGCTGCCCATCCTGAGTCCCACGGCTGCCAACCCCTCCGACCCAGCACGTGGCTTTTGAGGCTCCGTGCAGCACCAGTGGGGACCCCAAGGTGAGCGATGCTGGCATTCCCCCACGGAGGCACAGGGGACTTCATGGCGACGTGAGAACACTGGTGGCACACAGGGACACTGTGCGGGGCTCAGCCAGAGGAAGAGTTGCTTTCCTTGCTGTAGCAAAACGCAATTAAGGTGGGCTTGCCCAACCTCCCTTTTCTCTGCACATCTCTCCTGAGTCGCCAAGAAGCCCCTTTGGAGAGGCAGCCACGGTGCAGGCGTTTGCACGGCACCAAGGCCTGCTCATGCTGTGCCGTGGTGGTGGATTAAGGTCACCTGGCAGGGGAACCCCAGCAAGGGCATGACAAGAGCACCCAGGGCTCTCACGGGCACTGGTGGGTGAGGAGCCTCCTGAATGTCATCCTTAGAGCCCGCGTTTCTGCTGCTGCTGTGCTCCTGGTGCTGCCTTCCTGCAGGGCTCACCATAAGCTCCAGGCTCTGCTCCCACATCACCTGCACAGATCCCAGCGCTGCAGAGGACAAGGGGACCCGTTCCTGTGCAGCTACAGCAGCCCCACATCTCACCGAGGGACCCCTCTGTGCCCCCACTGAGCCCAGCACAACTCATGGCAGTGATGGTGAGCAGGATCTCCAGCCCAGCCCTACTGCGCAACAATATTCCCGCGCCTCAAACAGCCCCCCGATGCCTGCAGGAAAACTTCCACCGCATTCCTTCTCTTATCGCGGCGAGGAGTGGCTCCTGCCCGACTGACACCGCTGCTCTGCTACAGAGGGCACAGTTTCTGTGCTCCCCTCCTCCCCAAATTCGCTCCCACTTCGCATAAGAACGGGAGCTTTTGTTTCGTGGGATTTCACCCCCTCCACTGCCTGTTCCCCACCTCCAGCCTGAGCCGCCTTTGTCCTCAGCACATAAAGAACAAAAGGGGAGACGGAGAAAATACGATCTCGCCTGCAAATGGGCTTTTTTTTCCCCCTCCAAGTCGACCATGAAGCGTCGGATGCTCTTTAAGGACCCGGCTGACGAATGGCAGAGCACGGGGCTGCCATTAGCAGCCGATTGATCGGCTCTTGGCAGCGCTGCCAGGGCACTGTGCTCCGAGAGGTGAGAGAGGAAGAGAGAATGAAGGGAAGTGCCGAGTGATTGGGAATAGTTTTCAGTCCCTGATAGCGATAAACGCATTCAGCAAATTGCGCTCTCGCTTCGGAGCAGCTGATGGTGACGCACGGCCTTTCTTCTCTAAACCAGGGGGGAACCTCAAGTAAACAGGGGCAAAAATCCATTCCTGCCTCAGTTTGCTCCCTGAACGGGGACCCTCCCTGCCAACCTGACCTTTCACGTCTCCTGTTAGCTCTGCCTCCTTCCCACCTCTGTCCAGCGCTGCTGACAAGCACGGGTGATGCTTGCACCTACCCGGCTCAGCCAGCCCTGCTGCTCACCTGCTGGCAGCTCCTTTGGGGAGCAGCAGTGCCCACTGTGCTCAGAGCACCCACAGGACCAAGCAGCCGTGTGCTTTTCCTGCAGGTTTTCCCTTCTGGCTCCCACATACCTCCCCTCTGGGCAGGGGGATGTCAGCGTGAACGTTTCCAGAGCTTCACATGAGCCCCACAAGCAGGGGACAGCCGTGTCCTTGGGAGAAACGGGGCGGGAAGAAAGCTGCAGGGCAGCGGGGGCTGCAACAGGCAGCAGCACAGCACAGCACAGCAGCTCCTTCCTTCCACCATGAGAAACAGTTTGCAACCACATTACAGATGGCATAATTACACCTAAGGAAAACAGGGCTGCCCTGGGTGCGTAAACACGGCTGTGACGGAGCAGCGGGCTGCAAGCAGAGGGCACAGCTCCAGCACTGCTGAGCCATGGAGCCGGCAGCAGGTGATGCTGGGCAGACACTGAACTTGGAACTGGGAGGAGAGAGAGGGAGAGAGAGAGAGAAACCCCATCGGCTGCTGCATCTCCTCCCGGCTGCTGCTTGCTATCTCCTTCCCTGGCCCAGAGCCGGCCGTGCTGCTGCCGATAAGCAGATAGCATCTAATCGCCGGGTGCACACAAATCCTGCCAGCTGAGCTGAGCACGGCGTGCAGCAGGATGGCCACCCGCTGTCCCCAAGGGCACGGGGACGCAGAGCCTGGGGACAAGACCCCCAGCAATGCCCACCTCCGCGGGGCATTTGGGGAAGGGGAAACGTGACTTGCTGGGGGTCAGCATCCCAGGCTTTCCCCATCCCTGCAGAGCTGCGAGATGAGAGTTTTTAATATCAAACTGGTAGCCAGAGGGTGAATTAAGGATGCTAATTGAATTTCACTCGGCGGAGGAGCCGAGGCCGGTGGGAGGCAGGGAGGAAACGTATTTGATGTGTTTTAAAAGCTGCAGTTTCAGAATGCGATTTTTCTCTCTCTCTTCCGTTTTTTTCCCCCTTAAAGCTGGTCATAAAAAGGATCCCCTCTTTGAGGAGCTAATGACTCTCATGAATTATTTTTGTTGATTTATACGCCCACTCTGCTTTTAAATGATATTAATAAAGTCAAAGTGAATCTGTTCCCAGGCAGGAGCAGGGATGGAGGGTGCAGGACCACACAACATTTTGGGCCGAAACTTGGTGATTTTGGGGGCGAGGAGGTCAGGCACCAGGCAGAGGCTGAGCCCCCACGCACGGCGCTGCCACAGCTCCCAAATCTGTCCCACACCCCCCCGATTCCCACCTCCACCCCATGGCATCGGGATGCGACATCAGCATTCAGCATCGCTGCCGCTATGGGGCACTTTCCATGCTGCTTTGGTTTTATGATGCCGCCACGCCGCCGCTTAATTCTCTGCTGTCTTTCTTCCGCGCTGTTGATTTACGTTGTTAGTGTTTTAATTATACAATTCAGCACTCCTTAAAACATGAAAAACTGCTCAACTTTCGGAGCAATTAAAACGCAGTGGAGTAGATCAGCCGATCCGGGATGAGAGAAGTAAATCAAACAATTACAAAACTCATTTTTAGGGGCGTAGGGAGAGAGGTGGAATTGCCCCACTTTGGGCAGAGCTGCGACCTCCCAGCGCCTCCTTCTTCCCTGTAACCCCATCCCATCACTGCGGGGCGCTGCCAGCATCCCTGCAGCTGTCAGAAGGACGGAGCTGCCATCGCCCCCAGCGCGCACAGCCCCTCGACGTGCCCTCATGCAGGACGCAGCACAGGGGGTCACCTCGTCCACCGTTAACGGGTGATGGCGTGGGGCGGGGGTGGCGATGCGGGGCAGGGAGGGAGCACAGCCCACCACCGCTCGCAGCTGTGCACGCTCGTGTGAGCTCACACCCACCGCGGTCCGCCCAGGGGAGCCCATGGCCACGTCTGTGCACGCACGAGCGGAGAGATCTCAGCACCCGCTGCTTCTCCCGTTAATTTGCGGGACCTCCCGACCCGGGGCAGCGCCGCCTCTGCCTGAAGCGGCTCCGAATCGCCGACCGCCCGACCACGAGGAGGAGCGCGGATTTGGGTCGCTTTGGAGGATTTTGCGCATGGCTACGGCTCCCTCTTGTGGCCAGGAGGCTGCATTGCACTCAGCTCCTGGGGCGGGCCGAGGGCTGAGAGCCGCGGGGCTACAGATTGGGAACCACGGGGCTGGGCGGATTCGTAGGGCCGGAGCTCCTTCAGCAAGCACCGATCGCGAGGTCACGGCATCCCTACTGTTCACAACGTAGCAGCAGCCGCCAACAAGATCCGCACAGCCCGCAGGGTGCAGCACCCAACAACTCAGCGCAGCGCCGCTCCGCGTTCTCCCCTCTGGTTTTTGTCCCTCCGCCCGCGCCGTAGCGCGCTGCGAAGGGCGGGGCTTGAGGAGGTGTCCCGGAAGCGGAAGTGCGTCCTCTCCTTTCCGCTCTCTGTAGCCGAGAGCCGTAGCGGTGAGCGCAGGGTGGGGCCGTGTGGAATCCGCCGCCATCCGAGGCCGTGTGGGGCTGGGCGGCCTCGGGGGGTGCAGGGCGATCTGTGGGGAGTCGGGGGGGGCTGATGGCGGGCGTGGGGTGGCCGTTGGGGCCGTGAGGATGATGCGCTGACGCCATCTTGGCCTGTTCCTCCCGCAGGTTGGAACGAGCTGAGTCCGGGCTGGAGTCATGGTGAGGAGGGGGCTCATGGGGGAGCGGGTGGGGGCTCGCAGACGTGTTGTGGGGCTTCTCTCAGTCCGTGGGTGGAGGTTGTCTGGTTTCTTGTGGCTGTGGGGTCCAGTAGGGGAACCTCTGTTGTTCTTTGGGTCTGTTTATGTACAGAGTGAGGAGTTTTCCCCTTTGTGGTGAGGGGAGGGTGGGGAGAGAGCTGCTCCTGTCTTTGGGGGTGCACTTGGGGGTCTGGGCTGAGCCCCAGCTGAATGGCTGCACCAAAGGCAGAACACAGGGTGAGTATCAGCTCTCGTCCTTGTCCGTGCTGACTGTGTTTCATCTTTCAGCCTCGCAAGATTGAGGAGATCAAAGACTTTCTGCTGACAGCCAGGAGGAAGGATGCAAAGTGTGAGTGCTGAAGCTGCTTTAGGGGAGGAGTAAGGGTGTGCTTCAGCAATTCCCCCCCTGAGGGGAGCTGCAGGCCTGTGTCATCCATTGGGCCGAGCAGCTCCATGCTGTGGAAGTGCTGAGGGACTCAGTGCACTGAGGCTGTGTCTGCATGCAACACCAGTGGCATTTGCAATAGGTTTTGCTGAGCAAAGCTATCCTGGCTGCAGAGGAGCTGCAGGGGAGGAGCTGCAGTCCCAGGGATGAGCTGATCAGGGTTGGGTGCTCACTCATTTGGGTTTCTTCTGCTGCTGTTCACTCATGGGTGTTCTTGCCAAACCCAGGTTGCAACTGGTGGGAAGCTATTTGCAAATATTAGCCTGTCTGTGACTTAGTAAATCTTTGACAAGCTAAAAGATGTTCTGTTAAAGCTCTGCGACACCTGACAAGTGAATCACGCTTAAACTCAAGTTTTCTATTGTTGAGAACACAAAGACAATTATAATTGAAAGGCTGGAATGTCTTGTCTCGGTATTTAACAACGTGCGAGGAGTTTTCCTTTATTTTTTCCTGTATGTGGATGTAGCTGTCATGGGGATGAGGTGCTTTAATTCTGGAAATGTTTTGTTAACTCAGTGATGTGGGCGAGAGAGGGAAAGTTCAGTGTGCACCGCTGTTATATTTGCTGACAGCTGCTTACAAAGCATTTCAGTCCCTTTCAACACATTCTAGATTTGGCAGCAGCTCTACAGCTTGTTATACTGAGCTGCCAGGGCTGTGCAGTGGGAAAGGAGAGCAACTGACCACAGCTGTGAGCAAGCTGCTTAGATAAAACAACCCTGCTTGGCTGTAAAGGAGATGAAGAACTGCCTGCAGACTCATTGCAGGGGTCAGAGCTGCTATGCAGATGCAGAGGATTACACGAAATAAGTCTGTTGTGCACTTCTGTGCTCTGTTGAGAGTTTGTGATGCTGGACGCTTCTGATGCTACTTGTAAATACCTGCTATGACACACAAAGGTCTCCACGCTTGCTTTGGGATATGTAGGATTTGTGCTTTCGCAGGAAATGGACGTGGTTCATAAAAGGGAACATGTGGGGTCGCTGCCGTCCCAGTAACCACTTCCTTAATCCTGCAGCCGTCAAGATCAAGAAGAACAAGGACAATGTGAAGTTCAAGGTGCGCTGCAGCCGCTACCTTTACACCTTGGTCATCACAGACAAGGAGAAGGCAGAGAAGCTGAAACAGTCCCTGCCTCCAGGTATCACCAGCGGGGCCTCCCAGGGGCCAGCCTGGGTCTGGGTTCTTGTGCTGGAGCACAGCTGAGCTCAGCATGGAAGGGGGGGGCAGGAGGTGCAGTCTGTGAGTTGCCTGAGCGAATGCTGCTCAAACTTCTGACTGTTGATAAGTGCCTGGGAGCTGTGGGGCTCTGGCTGCTCTTTGCACAGCTGCAGCCTGTGCTGGCAGGCAAGGGGAGCTGCCCCAGCCCTCTGCAAAGCCAGCAATAAGCTGCAGCTGCGTGTCTCCTGCACAAGGGCAGATGCTGCTCTCCTGGCCAGACAGACCGGGCGATGAGCCACGTTTCAAACATTTTTTTTGTCTTTTTCTCCTCCCTAGGTTTGGCTGTGAAGGAGCTGAAATGAACTGTTTGCACCTAGATTTCTCCACGTTTATTACAATAAAAATTGGAACTGTTTCCAGGTGTCAGGCTTGTCCTTTCCAAACGGCACCGTGCTGAAGCCACGTGTGTTCCTCTCACTGCTCTAGAAGGGATGGCTTCTGCCACACATAGCCTGGACCAGCTACCCCAGTGTGCCAGCTCACAGCCTGGTGCTTCAGGAGCTGGTTTCAGTCTGTGCCCCAGCAGAGCTTGCAGTGAGGGGCACCCGAGGGGGCTGAGGCAGTTGCTCTGTGCGTGTGAATGGAGCGTCCTGTCAGCTGCCACATGCTCTGCTTTCACATCCTAAGTGTTGGGCCTCCTCCACCCATCCAGCTGGCAGCTGCCCGGTGAGACTGCGTGCCAGAGCACAAGGCTGCTCAGCTGTAGCTTTTGCTGGCATTAATTCGGGGTGAGTCTCCCAGCAGGGCTGCAGGAGAGCTCAGAGCTCCTTAGGCTGGCAGTGGCTGGTTTGCCTGCTACTGTGGTGCCCCATCACCTTCCCTGATGCAATGTTCCCTGAAGTCTTCCGCGGCCAATGAATGTGAGCTGTGCTGGGTGCACCCACGCGCTGCCTGGGCTCAGGGTCGGCTCCAGACCAGCTCCCAGCCCTTTGCAGTTCACTGCCTCTGGGGAGAGGGAAACAGTTTTCTATTGGAAGATTTTTGCAATAGACAAAATGATCCTCAGTCACTTTGTTTTCTCACCCTGTTCCTGATTTAGGTGCAGCTTGCTGTACCTGGAGCCGTGGGTATTAATAACACATGCTTGAGAGGAGAGCCATAAAGAGTAAAACTTCTTGGCAGGGAATGGTATTTTGCCAGGGATTTGTGGTGGCAGCATGGAGTGGAAAGTAGATGTGTTCATCAACGTAACCCTGCAGGATGATGTACAAAGCATGGTGTCTTTCCAGAGTGGATGTGAGGGATGCCCAGCGTGTCCTCAGCTGCTGTTTGCTGGGGCAGCTGGATGGAGCAGTTTTGGGGCACTGCTGCAGCAGGAGCCTCCCTGGGGTGACCGGGTTGGGTGGGAACATCCTCTATGCTGATGCTGAGCTCAAGCTCAGCCCTTATGACAGAGTCCTGGTGAGCGGCCCTATAAGAGGGTGGCGGTGTGTCCCCCTGTCACCCCATTAGGGTACAGTTTGCTTATGGGGGCAGCAACGCTCTTACAGGAGATGGAGGGAGGTGATGCCTCTAGCACTGAGGTGACGGGATGCAGCACCTCGTATGGTTAGGGTACAGTTCCCTGATGTAAGGAGCAAAGCGATAGGATTCAGTGATCCTTTCATCGGGAAGCGCAGGGGGTGCAGTGCTGCTATAGCAGCAAGGTGAAGGGTGCGGTGCTTTAACGCAAGGAGAGAACAGAATCCTTTGAGCTGGAAGGGGCCTTTATCCTGTTCCAACCCTCCAACAAAGAACGGAGATACCTGCATCACCATCAGGGCGCTGAGCCTGCAGCCGGACGGGGCGATCCAGGCGTCTCGACCAAACGCCGGGGAGCAAAGAGCCGCACGGCGCGGGGCAGCAGGCGGCCCGCGCTTTCCGAGGGGGCGTGGCCAGGAGGAGGGCGTGGTCTCTGAGATGGGCGTGGCCGCTCGGAGGGGGCGTGGCCCGGTGGGCGGAGCGCGGCGTGGCGGCGCGTTGCCCCCCGCCATCTGCGGCCCCGGCCCGACCCGGCCCCGCCATGCCGCCCGCCCGCGCCGATTACCTGGCGCCCTGGTGGGCGGCCTGGCTGCACGGGTTGCCCCACCGCGGCTTGCGCCTGCAGCCCGTGCCAGCCGCTTTCCACCCGCGGGACCCCGACTACCAGCAGGTACGGACCCCGCGCTCCGTGCCCCCCCTTCCCTGGGCTCGGGTCCTCCATCCCCCCGCGCTCCCGACGCTCATTCGGCAACGGGCTTTTGGGGGGTGCGCTCCGCGCTGGGGGGTTCGCGCACCGACACAAAGAAGCACCCGCTCCTTGCAGTGACCGCTTTCACCCCTCCTGCTGCCGGCACAAAGCGCTCTTCTTTCCGGGGAGGGCACGTTTGGGCCCCGCGGTTAATCCCGGTACCTCCGGTACCCCCGGTTCCCGGTACCGCCGAACCGCAACTGCAGCGGATCCCGGCGCGGGGCAGCGCTGTGCGAGCCCACCCGATAGAGCGCTGTGCGGTCCCTGCGCTGAGCATCCCGGGCACTGCCCGAACACGGCAATGCCTTCCCGGCTCCGCATCCACCCTGCGCCGCGGGAACGGGGACGCGAACGGACGCCGCTTCCTCTTTCCCCTTGTGACCGTCCCGTGGGAAGCCCCGCCACCGAGCACCCCCCAGCGCCTCTTCCCCGAATCGCTCTGCGAGCCGCACGGCGTCCCCTTTCCCTCCGCAGTCGCTGCTTTTCTTCGGCTTGGTGTCCGCCGTCTGTCTCGGCATCAACCTCCTCTTCCTCACCATCTACCTGATCTGCTTCTGCTGCTGCAAGCGGGACCAGGAGCCCGACGCCAAGCGGCCCCGCTCCTGCTGTGTCACCTGGATGGCTGTCACCGCCGGGCTTGTCTGCTGGTGAGGGATGCTGCCACCGTGTCCCGTGCTGCTGTGCATCACTTCCATGCCCGCGCCACACCAGGACAGCCCCGGGGTCTCATCCCCATCCCTTTACCACCCTCCCACTAATCCCAGCAGTCGCTAATCCCAGCCCGTGGCAGATGGCTGGCAGTGCTGTGACCCAGCTGGCAGCCCGGAGTGGCCGCGCTTCGTTGTGGCCGCCCTTAATTGTGGATTGTGACCATCATTAATTGTGGCCGCAGCAATTAGGCGAGGGGCAGCAGCGCTTTGCCCTGTCCACCCCTTCTCTTGTTTCCCCCCCCTTTGAGCCCCCGGGAGCAGCACGCGGTTCCCTTTCGTCGCGCAGCAGACAAAGGCTCACTGTCTGCCTGCGCTGCGCAGCAAATGTCCCCGCTGAGCTCCCTGCACCTGTCCCATGATCTCTCCCCAGTCC